TGGCTAATTTGGATGCATAATTAGACTTAGAGTGCAGATAGCCTCTAGTTTAAACTCTGATGCATCACATGTTGACTCATGGAGACTAAGCCATTTTATTTTCTTGGGAAACTACAATTTTGAAAGCATGCTTAGTGTGCACAATGACCACTTCTGAAGAAAAGGAACAGTCTTTCCTATAGCCTCAAACTCTTGAGTGTAGTTGAGGCTGGTGAAAGTCAGCCAGATTTACACCCCCAAAATACTGCAAAGCTCATTGCTGTTCTTGATGCCTCATCTACAAAGGGGTTCAAGGTTTGTTGTCATCTTATATGTCTGGAGTACTGAAAAACAACAGTAGAATACCCAGTGTAATAGTTCATACCTCAAGTTTACCCTGTCCAGCCACCAAAGAGACTGATTCTATTAATTTATCAATATACTTAGTCATTAATAGCAGTAGTTTACTTTTGAATAACATGTGTTTGCACTTTTCCATTTCTTTTTTTCCCCACAGGATTGCTGCAGCAGATGCTGGAGCTATCATTTATTTTGTGATTATTTAGAAATAACCAAGAGCAAACAGAGCTGTACTTCTTGCCTATTCAAATTCAGAGGTTGGCCTGTAGTCCTAACTTTTCATCAAGGCTTTCATAAACTAAACAGCAGGGAGAACTCCAGAACTTGTTAACATCCTGTTTTTATGGATGCAGACATGCTACACATGCTTTTCAAGGGAGAGTTATGGCCTTACTGCTTGCAGGGGAAGGTTGCACAGAGAAGCAGATGCAGTTGCCTTAGTAATTTACTGAGTGGTTCTTTGTTGTGTGTCTTGGTGTTAAGTCAATGTAAAGATACCTACTTGCTGTAGATCACATTGTCAGTATGAAGCCACGCTGCAAGCACATGGCTAACTTAGGTCAGTTAAGAGAAAACTAAGGTTCGTCATGACATTTTTGTTGAATTACATAGGCTCGGTGTTGTTTTGAAATAAACTTAATGTGTAAAGTTTCTAGCTAGTGTCTTCTGTGACACACAAATTCCTAACTTTTAGAAGTTATTTATAAGTGGAGGTAAGATCATTTGGTTATTAAGTTTATCTGCCCATTACTTAACATTATAATACCCTGCTTTTTCTTGCTGTAACTTTAACAAAATGTAATTGCCTGGACTGAACTGTCCAAGCCTAGTCCCAGGCTGATAATTGTTTTTTAAGACCTTTAGCCAAAGGAGATTAGCCACATCCAAGAATGAGTCAACAGTCTCCCCAATAAAAAAAAAAAAAGCCACCCAAAAAATCTTATAAAAAAAACACCAAAAGACCAAGGAACAAAACCCAAATGTAGACTCTACAGAATTGAGGAAAAGCTACCTAAAGCTACAAATGGATTTGGCCTTTAGTTGTTCCTTTGAAATCTGTTCATATTTAGAAAAACAGTGCATCTGTGAAAAATTGCAGTTCACATATGCTTAGTGGGGACGACTTTTGTGTCATCTGTTAAATTCCCCCAGTGCTCCACTGGAGCATACTGGAAGGCTTCGCTCCCAGCTCACAGTATTCAGCAGAAGCAGGTTAGGTTGAATCTGGTGGAGAGGCAGGGGGGATGTTTCTCCTGCAAAAGGGGCAATGGGGTAGAGCATGGAGTGTGCTATTAGCTGGGGATGGACATGGACTTTGCTTATCTGAATGGGAGATGCTGAGAAAAATGGGAGGGGAAGCAGGACTTGAACCCCAGTGTACAGGAGGTGGGTGGGAGGTAGGGGTAGAATAGCACGAGCAAAGAGACTGGCTCATGCTGGGAGGGTGGGAGCTGGGCAGCAGAGCCAAGAGGAAGAGCTGAAGCAAAATGGAGGTGAGGGACTGCCCCATTGCAGGTATGGATATGCATCTTGGGGTGCTTGAATGCTGCTCTGAAAAGCTTGGATTCTACCTGTCATTCCTGCAAGCTTCTTAAGATGCCAAGCAAGGAAGTCAGGCTGGTTATTTCTCAGGAATTATCCCTTGATGCGTATTTCTGGCTTCCTAGGTACCCAGTGTAACAAAGAGATGAGAGTTCTTGATGCACTCACAGGTGCTGCTGAAGTCTCTAGGACCTGAGCCTTAGAAATACAATGATGTAACCATAAGAACTGAATGAACTATTGGTATTTCAAATTAATTTTCAATAAACACATTAATTATGAAGCATTCAGCAGCTAAAATCACCAACATCAAAGCGCATTGTGTGTTGCTCGAGTATGCGAGGTCAGTATTGATGACAGGACTGCTCTATGACCATTTCAAGTTTGGTAGAATATGAAGGACACATACTGAGTAAAATTTACATGAGATAAAGCTTATCTGAACATCAAGATGGAATGCTGGTTGGTGTAGATGCTTTTAGGAATTCATATTACTTTATTTATTGATTTGGGTTTATTTTTGTTTTCGCTGATACCAACAAAGGTTGATCATTCTTGCACTGCATTTGTGCAGGGCACAGTTACTACATGGCAGCCAATGATGTCACTTCCATGGAGGTAACTGAATTTGCATCAGCTTTAGTTTAGCTATCATGAGTAAAAATAATCATGCAGGTGTTGTGTCAGCACTTCGGTGCAGACTGGGGACATACTCTGTTTGCTCTCAGCTCCAAAATCCCTGCTGCTGTGTTTCTGTGGTGGTGCTGTATGAAAGGACCTAATTAAAGCTAGTGAACTGGTATATTAAAGCTAACTACCTGGTGCACAATGGAAGTCCAGCTGAAACCTCTGAGCAGTTTAGGAGGCTTTTGGTATGCCTGGAGCAGAAGGAGGCTTTTGGTATGCCTTGAGCAGAGAGATGCTATTGATAGCTCAAATGAGCAGGGACTATCTGGTGCCTGAATGTCACAAGTTAAAAGTCAAAGGGCAAAACATTGGTCTTCCTTACAGCCAGCAGAGGTTTTGCTGTTAACTTCAACAAACTTAAATTTTATCCCTGAATTCTGTCAGCTTGGTTTTTGGAGATGGAAGAATTGCATTGTGCTTTTACTTCTTGTGGCTTCACCAAGACTCTGCATTCTAAGTGTTTTAAAATTATCTTTTACTTGCTCTGATTGTGTTTTGTGGGAAACTAAATAGAAAGTGTATTTAAGGGCCCCAGAGACCTGCTCTGATGAACTATATCAGGAGAAGGTGAACATCTGCTTGATGCCTGGACACAGCTTTAGCAGAACTCCTAATTGTTCAAAATAAATTGTGGAAAATGTGATTACCTTTCACCTTAAAACCTTATTGCTCAAACTTTAAATTGTAATGTCTTTACGTAACAATAAAAAAGTAGAAAGCTCAATAGAAAATATTTACCATCCAGGCAGAAAAGGTATTAAAGGAGAAGGAAAAGTATAGAAAAAAGAGGAAATCAAGAGGTTTTGCAATTTTAGAGTGGTTTTACAAAAAAGGAAACTGAATTCTGCAGTATAACAAAACGAGTATATCATACTAACATGAGGATGTTTTAACAGAGGGTGTATTGGCTTAACAAATGCCTGTTTTATCAGTTGTATTTCACGTGAAATGAAATGGACTTTATAGTAAATAGATTTTTTAATTTCAAATAACAATTTCTTATCATAAGGAAAATGTACAGAATTTGTGTGGAAATCCAGGTACTATGTTTACTCAAAGTAAGAATTTGCTGCAAGCTTTTAAATATAATAAAATGCATTTAATAGCAATCTTTTGTAGTATAATCTGTATTTGTGGACATAACATTCAAAGCAAGGAAACTCAGTTGTGGATTGAAATGACCATAAAAACAGTAACTCAAAGAACCTTATAAACATGTCAACACCCATCATTTAACACAGATGGCTCGTACCAATGTAAAAAAAAAACAAACCACATATAAAATGTAGTATTATTTTCAACATATGGTTTACTTTGTTGCATTGTTCCTACATTTCTGCTAAAATCCAGGAAATTATATTATTAAGAGAATATTGGTTTTGTTTGTTAAACTAAAGTACAGGTTAAAGTAATTCCTTTCTTGTGATGAACATATACCAACAATGATTAAAAAATAAACATTTATTTACAAAATATTGATGCATACATATTACACAAGTCAGTTATATCAAAGTGGTTTTTTTTAAAACAGTATCTGTAGCAACCAACTATTTGCATTGGTTTTTCATAGTGCAAACGGTAATGTTGCAAAGGCAGGTTATAATTTGGGATTGTGGTTTGAATGTTAAGACTTTTCTGCTGCCTTTTGTTTTACTACATCTAGAAAAGTATTCCCTTCCATTTAAAAAATACCTATTTCTTGCGAATGTTGAATAATGTACCTGAGGATAGGGCAAGTTCATTATTAGTCTAAATTCTTTCACGTAGGTAACTATCTTTCTATTTTACTCAGCCTGCTTACGTAGCACCATTGCCATTGCTTACTAACATATTAATGAGAAAAAGGAATGGAAACACGCTAAATACACTATGCCATCCCTAATTTCAGGATTTGTCCATTGATGTGGAATTTCATCTGATACATTTCACAATTCTGCACTATATATTCAAGTGTTTAAGGATGATTCTGGTGGTAATGTGTAGTGGTGTGTATGTTGAGCAGTATATGTTTTCCTGTAAATACAATATTAAGTGAATCTGTGAAGAAATGGTCTTAAAAGCCTGCTCATTCTGTCCTGGCATGAGAAGGAGCTTGCTTTTGCTTACCAATAGGTATTGAAACCTGCATGAAAATTTGAGTCTGAATGCCTGAACATTGGTTCCCTCACAATATAAGATCTCGATGTGTTAAATCCAGTGATTTTGATTGTAGCTTTTCTTCTTGGCTGGCCCAAAGCCAACCCTTAGGTCACTGTGTCATCCTTTAGCTCATGTTCTGTAGCTGGTGCTGCACTAACTCTGCACGGTAGCCTCTCGTGCAGCACACAGGATGTTGGCAATGCATAGCATACGTAACTTCACAGTTCCAAAGACTGGTGAGGGGGTATAACTTTTTCTTTTTTTTTTTGGAGGGGGGGTGTTGTTGTGGTTTTTTTTTTCTTTTGATAGCGTCCAGAATTCATGGAGTGGTGGATCTGAAGACCATCTCATGAGCATCCACAGCGATCCACAACCATGGCTGGTATCTTGCCATAAATGATTTGTTCTTTCCCGTTGAAGTACAGCATGTTTATGGGGGACATCTTGGTGGGGGTGCAGCAGGGGCCTGCTGATCCTCGGGGGTTTGCTTGGTGCACGAGGTGAGTGTGCGGGTATTTTTGTAAAAACACAAACTCGCATTCTCCAGAGCAGTAATTGGCTTTGTATCTTTTAGGTGCAATAATCCAGTCCCACCCGAAGGCTTCAAAATCCACCGTCAGGGGGTAGCGACAACATCGGGATTCTGTCGAGTGCTCGTCACAGTCGAGGCCGAAATCTCTGCGGGACCGTTTTGGTGTGTCTGTAACTCTGACCTCTAAAAACGGGTTCTGCGAGGAGAGGAGAAGGAGTCAGGAGCATTACCAAGGTAAGCCTAAGTTCAGTAAAAACATGCGGATATCTAACATTTCAGACATAAATCTATCCAATTAATATGCTCAAATCATGTTTGCAAACAAAACGTTGTCCTTCTGCACATCTCTGCTACGTTTCATCTCTGCTCAAGGGTTATTCCTCTTTTTTTCAAGCTATGAACCAACATTTCACTGCTGTTTGTCTATAAAAACTTTAGTTTCTAAATATCTCTTCCTGAAATCACTGTCATCTCAGCAGTAGCATCATTTCTATTACATGCTGAAAAATTTCAGAAATTTTGAGGCTTTTTACTTTTGCTGTGGGTTTTGTTTCTTTTAAACCCCATGATAACAGTTACATTTTTTTCTACAGAAGAACTCCCAAAAGGAGACAAAGAACTTGAACTTTTCAAGGTATTTTACCTTTTGTCATTCATTCTGAAATTCACTCTATTGAAATAATACTTAGTTCAGGCTTTCTGGATATTAAGGAAGGTTCCTTGTCCAGACCAAGAAGAAGAAAAATCACTCCATAATTGCAAATGTTTTTTAATTACTGCAATGGCAGTAGAAATGAGTGTTTCACCTGCTAGTGCAGGTTACTTATACCTCAGTTTTCCCCTCTGGCAAGGAGCCGAGTTTGCTGTGCTGCATTTGGAGGGGCAGCTAGTATTTTGACTCCCAGAAGAGCCTAGTGGCCAGGAATGTACTTTTGGCAGATCTATAAGCCTCGTGCTTCCTACCAAAAGTGCGTTTCAACAGTCAACAACAGAATAGAAGGAAGTTGCAACCTTTACAATCACAAGTTTGAGAAAGTTCCTCAAGTTTCCTCCCCTCCAAGCAGCCCACGTGTTGGCTTGACCAGGGTGTCCCATGAAGGACTATCATTCCTCAGGAGTAAATAACAGCCCAGCAAACTTGATGTGGGCTTGTCCCTTCTGAGATACCAACCTTTACAGCTGTAAGTTGTCCTGCTGCTGCACATGCTTCTCCCAAAGGTAAAATATATGAGATGGGGCTGTTTTCAGCCATGCATCTAACCCTGTCCTGCTGCTGAGTCGGTTTGTTTTTACAGATTATGATCACCATGGGTTTATCCACATGTATGAAAATGCAGCTCTGGGTATGGAGGTGGTGAGGATGTTCCTTATCATAAAATCCAGCCAGCCTGACTTAAGTATGGAAGATCCACATTGATATCAATCAATATTGGATCTACAGTTATGATATCACAGCGTTTTGTCCTTAAATTCTTTTAGCTCCATTATACTGCTAAGAAAGGTAAACATTAGTTAGCTACATGAATACATTTGGACTTGATGATTTTAAAGGTCTTTTTCGACCTAAATGATTATTTGATAAGCAGAGTGATCTAATGCATAGAATTGAATGTAAAACATTATTCAGAAGGAGGAACTTTGTGATTGTGATTGTTTCAGCTGTGATAGTTTGGGAACTTGTATAGGTTGTAGATGATTAGTGATTTGCAGAAACAAAATGAAAATGCTGTAGTTTGGTACTCTTTAGGCTTAATTTGTTCATCTATGCTTACAAAAATATGTTCTTCCTCATCATTATGACTCTTCTATTGTATGAAGCAGAATTTCTCTGTCTAAACGTTTCTAAAAAGTGGAATTGTGCACTCTATCACATACTAAGGTACAAAACTAAACATTATGAAGATCTCACTTTCCTAAACATGTAGAATTCCGGGTGTTGTTAATATAAAATATATGCATGCAGAGTAGGGAGAAACTCCCTTGCTTTCTCAGCAATATAAGAGGAAACTTTTCTATTCGGGAAAGAATCTAATGACTATTCTTTTAGCTTTATGTAAAATAACTGCTTATTAAGCACTGTTTGCTCTCAGAGTTGAAAACAATGTTCCTATGATAGTACCATCCATCAGTAATTACTGAAACATTTTCTAGTTAATGCCTTTCAACATCCCTCTCAAGTACTGCAATTTGTCTCAACTTTTCAAATAGGGAAACAGAGGCACAGGAACGCTATGGGTTTTGATGCGATAAGAGAGCAAAGGATGGAAGAACTGGATATAGAGAATGTTTATCTTCCATTCCCTAAACAATGCTTCCATTTTATCCTTAAAACACAAATGCTTTTCAAGAAAATGCAAGATATTTAAATGGGATTTTTCTAAATACACTTACCAATCCATCTTCACCAGGTCCTGGGGAAGTTACAGCAAGATCCCGTCCATTCTCATCAAAAGCTTTTATTTCGATGCCTAAATTGGATTCAGGCTGTTTGAGCCAATTTTGCAACACTGTCTTCACATCAATACTCTGCCAAATACCAGTGCCAGGGTTCATGTCAAGTTTCAAAGATCGAATTCCAGTATATCTTGTACCATCTTTCATGGGTTTAATGAGTCTCAGGATCTGCACAAACACCGTTGTAGGTTTTTGGACTTGCCTCAAGTATATCCACAATTGTGCCTTTACTACTTTGTTATATTGTATCTTAGAGCTAAACTTAAAGAAGCAACATTTTGGTTTTCCCTCCATTTGTACAAGAAAATCAGCTATAAATGAATGGAAAGAATAGATTACTCAACAGGGAACAAAAAGAAATATGCATTTATAAACCCGACTTTTTTCCAGACCATGTAGAAGTCTTACAACACATTATCAACAGTCTCAGTAGCAAAGTGGACTTAAATTAATCAATTTTCTGTGGCTTAAGCTCCGCAGCAAATTTAACGGATGTCAACAAAATCATTATGCTAATCACCTAAAGGTAACATCATGTGGCAAGGAACCACTGGTACTGGTACCAGTGCTGTTGGCTGACTTGCACAACTGCAAGGAAGCCTCTTCCCCAACCAAAAACTATCTGGGGAGAGGGTACAGCTGATTCTACTTGATGGTGACTACTACCAACTCACTTCTGCTGGTCATCTCCTGAGGACCTTGTTAGAACATGCAGAAGAGCAACTTTGTGTAAGCTGACTCAACATATGTGTGGTGATCCAGCTATTTCCAACTTACTAAATTGCCTTAGTATGCTGCACACCATACAAATGGAGGCAGCCATGGGAAAACTCCACCAATACTTTAATTTCTATTTTCAGTGGGGAAAAAAACCCAACAATTTGGGGGATTAATCTACAGATAAGTTTGTTTTCCTTTGAACAATATTATAGAAAAGTCACGTGTACTGCTGCGTTCCTCCTTCCTGTAGCCCACGATGCAGCTGTCATACCTAGTCATGGCAATATCTTTCCATGCCAGGATAAAATGGGTAATCCTAATCTTAAATGGTGCAGGGCTTTGACATTCATAAATCTTACCACTTAAGATAGCTGTCACTTTAGTGCATTTAAAATAGTTCAAGGGCTTTTTATAAGAAGTAGGAAATTAACTCAAAATCAATGAATGAAGTTCAATCACTTTTATTCAGCCACTGTAATTATGTAACTGTTTAATTAAAAATATTTGTAAATCCTCAGATATAAAAGGCTGGAATAAAACTGCTGGCAGACCACAACTTTGTGATAAGCCTGCAGTAATATATTGCTATTGAGTACACATCTTATCAACTGATAAGTTAAAAAATATTGCAGATGAAGTTATTTTCATCGATGCATACATTTTTAGCTGGCTAGAGCAGTTGATATATTATTCTAGTATGTACATTGTAATGATATCTGTAACTGCTGACATGCCTTATATGTCCTGTCTTTTTCCTTTTTGACATCATATTCGTGAGTGTTATTTAAAAAAACAGCTGCCATAGCCAAATACTTAAGCTGATGAAGAACATAAGATACTATAGTATTAGCTGTGCAAAAGATACTTGATAGGAGCTATAGCAGATGTTTAGCACTCAGAAGATAACTTAGAATCTGCTCATTCAGTAAATGCCTTCATTCTTCCTTGGCACGACTACTGGAGCTGATTGCTATAGTGTGGACATTCTAACATTTAAATGTTACACACATATTTGCTTTAAACATATAATTTTAACTCAGAGGTGGGTGGTGCTAGTTTATGGGATCAGCAAAGAAGCAAGAATTTAACTCTCTGCTTGCACTTGCTGCAACGTGTTGCAGTTAGGTAGGTCTAGTGCTCCAGGCTGTATTTCTGCTGATTTGCATTGCTTCTAAAAACACTGGCCAGTGAAACCTCCCTCAGAAAAATATAGTTACCTCGTTATTTGCACTTGCACTTAATATTTGTGACTGGCAATGCCCTGAGCACTGCAGATAACGAAGCCAACTAAACTGCAGATCTCCCTTTGCTTTCTAAGGCAATGAGCAAATCCTCAGTGCTACAGGACACACTCATTCCAAGGAGCCGAAAACCGAACAGTAAAACATATGAACCTGGCTGGAATTCTTTAGAAACAAGGCTCCTCTCCCTCCCTCTAGCAGACTTCAGCCAGCAGCCTGTTGAGAGAGCCTGAGGAGGAGTTGTGTGGCTCTACAGCAGGGAGACAACTCTCTCGGAGGAGCAGCAGGAGGTGAAAGCAGCAGAGTTACTTACACTCCGTAGGCATTGTGATAATCGTTTCGGTGGTGGCATGATAGTCATCATCTTCCAAAGAACCATCGCTACTGTCGTCTCTCTGGACATCATACTGATCAATCAGTTCCTGTAGTGGAGGAGCTTTGGGTAGAAGTTGCTTAATAACATCCCTGCTAATGTTTGGAGCTTGTTCCAGGCGCAGTTTGCTGAGGATTTGAATTTTTATGGCTTCTATTCTGGAAGATTTTGTATTCTGTCTCCATGTACAAGCATTGCACAGTCCATCTTTTTCAGTGCTCTCTGTGGGCTGACTACCATCATCCAGAGCCACCGGATCAACTGAAATCAGCATGAACAGGTAAATATAAGCATAGATCGCAAGCTTTTGCATGATCTCACATTCAGCTTTTTTCCCTTTTTTTTTCCTTTTTCTTTTTTTTTTTTTTCTTCCTCCCCTCCCTTCCCCTTTCCCTTTTTGTTTTAGTACTAAACAGATCCGTGAAAGCAAATGCAATCTGAGAGACAGCTTGCCACGCTGGTGTACCTTATATATTCCAAGGGGGCTTTTTATACTCCAACTTTGATTAGGCTTGTGTCGTCAAACCCGACGATTGGTTGCTGTCCCAACAATGAATCTGGCTGTCAGAGGGTAAAGCCCTGTCGATCACAAGTCACTAGACAGCGTTTAGTTACAGCCAAGAGTGAACTGATTTATCTGGGCACTTTGTTGAGGATATGCCTTTGCATACTGAAAGGTTATATTTCCAAGTATTGTGGGCAGCAGTACTGAAAGACAGCACTGTCATTCTTAAAATATATACCAACTGTGTACTTGTGCTGTGAATCAAGACAGACCTCTCTCTAAACTTGTTTTAGACTTCTACCAGTTTGTTTGTGTTTGTTTTGTCTTTTTTTTTTTTTTTTTTACTTGAATGTTTGGGCTATTTAAAAGAAAATCCCAGGGGATCACTGTTAGCAGGCAGGAGGAAAATACTTTAGAAATGCACTGCAAAGAGTGCTAATTTATGTTGTTTGACAAGTAAGATATATGGAGCAGTTCATATTTCAGAAAACCTTAATGGGTTTTCCTGCTAGGTACTAGCTAAAGCAGTAATAAAGATTTGGTGCATATATGACTCTATGTAAATGCATATCTTACCTGTTTGTCAAAATCAGCAGAACAAATTCTTTACTGAATTAGCAGTCAATTATGAAAAATGTGTCTGTCCCCTCTGCAAACTATCACTAGGTGAGCAGAATCCTGGGCAGTAAAATAAATATTGGGAGATCTTTCATAGTAAAGGTTTTTTTAATAAGGAGTATCTTAAGCTACTCACTCTAATAGTATACAGAAATAGTAAGGCTTGCTTTTTCCATTAGTAGTGAAAGTAGTAAAAGAATTAAAACTTCTAAATCTCTGCTGTGAATATATCTTTTTCCATGTAAGCTTTTATTTCTGTTGATAATGTTTCTGGATTATGCCAATTTAAGTGATACTTTTCTATTCCTTCTTTTGCTTTCTATTAGAATATTTGTAAGTTCTCTATACACATTGCAGTTTTAATACATTTTCTGCCTAAGAGATACACCTAGACATTATTTTATACTTAGAGGTTATGGCTTATAAAAAAACTAAACAGCAATGTAGTTCACATTTGATGTGCTCTTAGCAAGAACTATGAAACTCATACTTAGGAAGGTGGGGGGGCTGGGTGGCCACATAGGCTGTATATTAGGGCAAGCAGAAATCCTGAAATTTGTGTATGCTTTGTCTATTTGCAGTCTGTACATTATAGCAAATAGAAATTCTGGCATTTTATGCAATATGCCGAAGTTTGCCTAAGTGAGGAATGAATTGTTGGTTTCTTACTGAGTTTGTCTTTTTTTGTTGTTGGTTGTTTTTTTTTTCCATTCTGAGTATACCTAAAAAGGAGGCAAAAGAAGGGGGTTTTTTTGCATATGTTCATGTGGGAAAAATACTGGTATATAGATAGATATATAGACAGATGTGGGAGAGAACTTTTAGAGAGCTTTTTTCTGCCTGGTCATTCATATTATTTTGTAGCACAGAACAAATACTCGGCTCATGACCAGTGACATAAATCACGAGCATTCAATTGAAACTGATTGTCCTACCCTGGTGTAAAGTTAATGCAAGCAATAGATGGATCACACTCTCACGTTCCAGGCCTATGGTTTTAGGGTCAGACCCTGATATTCTCAGTTCAGCCAAAATCCCTGTGTCAGGCAAGAATTTTTACTTCTTAGCTCCTGAGCATTTGCTTTTAAGACAAGATACCACTGCAGCTTTTCTCAACATGTGGTAACGTAAATGGGCTTGTGGTTCAGTGCAACCGGAAGTCAGGATAAAGGCTGCCTGCACATCTAGAATATATTTTACACAGATTTTTAATGCATTTCAAGTGCTGAAACTGATGCATAGGTGATTCACACTAGGAATCTTCTTGATACACACTGACCCTGTTGTTGAATTTCTGGGGGGCTCAGGTTGGGATTTTTTTGTTCTTTACTATTATGACAGTGAATATCGTAATAAAACCATTTTATTTTTTTAAACCAGAATGACTAAACCAGGTAGGTATTAAAGGGAGTCTACCCCCAGGTGGAAAGCTTGACAGGTACCAGGTTTCACACTAGAAACAGTTTTAAAGAGAATGATGATCCATCCGTAAATGGGTGCAAATAATGATGCAGTCACTAATAGCAGAATAATTAAATGCTATAGTGGGGAGAAGAGAAGCAGTCAGCAAAGCAGTGCCTCCAGCACTGTGGCTTATCTTTGCATGTGCTCTGTAGCCCCTTACCTGGTGCTCAGCAGCCATGCTGTTACTTGGCCTGCACCTTCTCCTCCAAGGTTTTCCCGCTCTGTGGCTCACCATGAGCATCCAGAACTTCATTTATTATCTTTTTTTCCAATCTGCAACAATTTCGTTAACCTGCAAAAAAGGCATTTGTTTATGGCTGCAGGACCAAAGTCCTCTCCTGTAAGCCTGAAACCCCGTGGAGCTCCAAGTGAGAGCTGAGCTGCTTCTTGGTCACTAAGGTGACACATGGTGGCAAACAGATCCTCCTGAGCACCCTGCCTGTGCATCATGATATTTAGAACTAGGAGGTAACAATAGCAACTGGGGCAGTGACATGGACAACTGACCATGGATGACAAAAGTATCCCAGAATTCACCAGCAGCTGCATAACCAAGAGCAATATTTTTCCATTTCCCTCATAAAATGCACTTGATATCCACATACTCTAAATAACTCTAGGCTGTTAGTGGAATATCTTTCTCTTCATCTTTTGTTGTTGCTGGCTTTTTCTATGAAACTGCAAGAATTTGGAAGAAATCGTAAATAGTTGCACTTGATCAGGAGGTATTAAAAGATCTGATTTTTTTATTATTATAATAATCATACTACAATATGCAATTTGTATTTCTGTCTGACTTTCATTGTAGTGTTTTTGGAAAGTGATGATTACAGAAGCAAGTGACAGAGGTGAGAAAAGTAAGTGATAAAGTGACCAGGTAAAACTTGTTCCAAAAATTTATTTGGAAAAAAAAAAAAAGCCCAACAAAAAAACACACACAGGAAAAAAACACCAAACAAAACCAAAGCCAACACATTACCACCAGCAAAACTAAAGAAGAGTTAAAAATGAAATGCACATATTCCTGAACTTTATGGCATTTTAATATTATCTTTGGGATTTGTGTCATTCTACCCAGCATGGCTGCCAATAATGAATAGTATTCCCAGTCCTAACTATTCAAAGATCATGACTCAGGCCCCCAAAATCAAGCAATCTAAGAATGTTCCTTTCTAAAGGAAAGAGGCAGACATCTGTTCACCTGTCAACTTCTCCTTTCCTTTTTCCATCAGGAGCTCTTGTACTCTTTGAAAAACAGAAGAAAAAAAAAAAGGAGAAAAACTCCAAACCCACCCCCAAACAATCTGAGCAATGTAGAGGTTTCAAAGACACTGTGTTACTGCCAGTTTTATAGGAAAACAGTGACTGTGTGGAGGCAAAGGAGATTACTAACGGCCTCCCTGAGGAGAAGGCAATCAGAGCCCAACCATTACCCATCCTTTTTGGCAGCCTCTAATTAGCCAATCTGGTTGTGCTTCTCTGTCATTAGTCAGCATGCTGATAGCTCTGGACCATCTAGGATGGTGTCATCCCTTGCTGGGCCAGCAGCCCAGGAAAAATAGATAGGGAGCAGAGCTTGTTTTGGGGGTGGACCAAGTGGATATGGAAGGGAACCAGGATGTTTCTGAGAAAAGGGAGAGAAGGGGTATGAAGAAGCTGCTCTCGTGGCAGGGAAGAAGAGAGACTGGGGCTATAACCCTGCCAGAAATCAGACAACATTGTCCTGTTGTAGGCTAGCTTTTCAACTGCTCTCTTACAGCCTGCAGGACCAGGAATTCACCTTTTTCTGGTGGTTTTTTTTGGGTTGTTTTTTTTTTCTGTTAAATGAAATAGTTGCCAGAATGGATTCACCTCAGATGGCAGAATTTGAAGAAAGAATCAGGTGTTGTGAAATGTACTGTCCATCTGTGATTGCTGTTTACACCTCAGAATCATCTGGTTTCTTTCCCTTGGTTTTGTTATAAGAAAGATATTCTCTGAGTCACTTTTTCTCTCACTTTTGTCAGCACAGAGCCCAATTTCTAGAATAGAATATTGGAATTGATAGAAAAATGAATTTAAATTATTTTTAGACTGGATTCAACTCTCACTTAACTGCAGTATGCTGGGAATAATGATCATGTAGTCATTTTAGTTAGAGTGACATTTGAATACAAAACTTCAGGCATATAATGAAATGCAATGGAGTTTGCGTTTTTAAGTGCTCAACTATGAGCCCAGCTGTCCTAATACACCAGATGCTTGCTGTTAGCCACCTGAATTGCAAGATAAAATGCATTTATTTGAACCTTGAAGCAGATACAAAAACATGTCTATAAAACCCCTGGAAAGTAATCCTGCAATAACAAAGATCCTATGAAAGCAGAGTCACAATCACATTATGTAAACTAAAGCTGCAGCAAGGCAAAAGTAACCATTTTTTTAATTAAACTTGTGACCATGAACTAAAACATTAAATCTTTAACTACTATGAATTCCTGCTCAGTAATGAGCACCCTAAACCAGTTTGTCCACTGCTGTATTTTTTCCTACAAAAGTAGCTCTCTAGAGCTTTCTAAACATTGTGCATTCCAACTGCTGGAAGTCAACTTTATTCCTTCTTTTTGATGGTATGGACATTTAAGTCCTCTGACTTGTCAAAAATAAGTAAGTTCATGTTTTTATTTATATTTTTTTTCAGCAGTTTTGAGTTCCAGGTATTGGAGAGCAATTTCAAGGAGAATGAGA